TAGCAGTTTTAGAGTGGAGTGGCAGCTTGGCGGAGGGCTGACTTTGTACAGGACAACAAACTGTTTTTGACATGGTTTTGGGCTAGTAGCAGCAGGCTTGGACTTGGCAGCATATTAGATTTTGGGGCTTTTCTGGACAACAACATTTGTAGCATGATACAAGTCTGGTTTTGTGGACAGATTTATACAGCTTGTAACAAAGACAAGGCATATTTGTGGACAGCATAGTGGCAAAGTTTGAAGATTGAGTCAAAGGAAAAAGTTCAAACAAGACAAAGCTTAGGATTTGTAACTTGCAATTTTTAACTTAAAAATACAGCTTTGTTGTTTACTTGAAAACTTGTAACAACTTGAATTATCTTGAATTATGGTGAAAAGATGTCATGAAGTACGAAATTAACATGTATAAAAAACACTTAGAAAAATTTCTAAGTCTTGCAAAATTTAACTTTTCAAAATGACTTTTGACCATTTTGATTTCTTTATGATCAAATTTCATATTTTTGAATGTCTTGATGAAATGTGATTTTTGAAACTAAAATTTGATAAAAAAGTCAAAGTTTGACTTTTCAGTGCACAATTGACTTTTTCATCAGTTGACCAAATTTCACCTATCAATCCTCTGATCTCGGGAGATGAATTAAAATGTGAGATTAGGTCAAAATGATGTACTTGAATCCTTGAGATCATGTTTCAGACCAATAAGTCATGTACTATGTCAAAAGTCAAGGATCAGTCGTTCTTATTCAAAACCCTAATTTAGAGTCTCAGTGCTTCGGAGATGATTTTGCCTGATCAATTCCTTGAGAATCCTTGAGCATTGGAGACCCGTTGTGAGAAATGTCTTGAAAAAGAGAGGGGAAATTTTTGGGTACAACATAATTCTATCTTTGAATTTATCTAATCTTCTTCTAGAAGTTGGTTTGCCGCCTTTTTTTTGCTGCTACCATTATATCGTTGAAGTCTTCTCCTAAAAGCCAACATCTATTTATTGACATAACAACTCTTTTTAATTCACCCACAACTCATTCTTTCCATATTCCCAAGGGCTAGCATAAATAGGATAGAAGAGCAAATCTCTACCATTCCCAAAGATATTCTTGCATGCATAAATAGTAAATGTTTTTCCAGCACCGTAATTTGAACATTATCAGAATTCCAACCCATCAATATTCGTATGTGAATCCACGAACATGAGAGAAATCATGACAATCAAACCCTGGTTAATTAAAAGGCTTTTTAAGTTTCCCTAGATCTATTCCAGTTTCCATATTAACAAAAATATCTTGGTGACTTTCCCGTATGTATTACTTACAAACACGTTGAAAAGCTTTGTTCTAGACAACCTAGATGTATGCATGAACGATGCAGAGGATGCAAATGATATACAATGCAAATGCCAAGTAAAGAACTGCAACAGGATCACAGGTTCAAAGGTTCAACACCAAAACCAAAGGAACCAAGTATCAAGTGGATCATCATTTGTTCCTGTAAGAAAAAATCCCACCCCATCTCACGGGTGAAATCTGGTCAAGGTAAGGTCAAAAGATACAGAGTCGTGAGTCAAATGGGAGGTGTATCACCATAGCAACAAATGTTCCTAACAATAGTGACCCCTAAGTATACCTCATCTATACGTGGCTCTCATGATCATGGTAGTAGGGTCTGCACCCAATAGGCGTCATGACTATCCACTCTAGTCCTATGTGTTCCTAAACGTGTCACTCTGACCTGAGTATTGAACCTTTTACCTCAAAGTAACACCCCACCCAACCTGAAAAACCAGAAAATCCAACACATCACAACATATATACAGAATAGTGGAAAGCAATAAAATACAAGGCATATAATAAATAAATAGCAATTAAAGCATATAGACAAACACTCAGAGAAAAGAAACAAACAAAGTTAAGATTGACCCACTTAGGAAAGAATCGTGAGTGAAGTCGCCAAGCTGTTGCACTGTATATGCGAAAATGTAGCGGTAAAACTTTTAGACTAAGCCTTTAATTGACTTAACTCATATCAGTAAAATTCGTCACTGCACTTTATTATTTTTAAAGGGAAAATGGGAAAAGAGCGAATAAAGCCCAAAATAAAATAAAATAGAGATCAAGGTACCAGGGTCGATTATGCAAAGGGAAGGTATTAGCACTCTAAGCATCTACGGTACTCCGCATGATCCATTTTTTTTGTTCTAATCAGAAAGTGTGTTATCTAAAGGCTTACTTGCTAAAGGGAATGAATGAGTGAATATTTACAAACAAAAGAAAATGTTTTTTTTATTATTTCACCCACCGCAGTTGCGAACCTTTGTGCCTACATACCCCCTTTATGCAATAAGGGATTAGGGCACTCGTAGTTCTTCTAAAAAAGAATAACACTTGATGTGTTGATTGATTTTAAAAGAAGAGACAAGTCGTCATTTTTAAGGAGAAGACTCGTCTAATCATCCATAAGGTATAATAAAGAAAGATTTGCACCAACATGAGGGAGTGTTTGAGAACCCCTCTAGTTCTCAAGTGGAAAAGTCGACAACCATGGGGATAGAGGAATAACTTCTAGATTATAAATGAATCATGTTTAATCTTGGAAAAGGTTTTAAAGGATAAAAGGTTCTCGAGCGCACAAAAAAGTTTGAATGAGTTAAAGTATTTTGTTAGTTTGAAAAAGGATTTGTGAATTGAATCGTAATAAAGTCCAGAAATGGAAGAAAGAGCAGGGTTCCAGGATGCACTACCTCACTAGTCCCCCATAAGACTCAACTGCATACGATTCACATATTTATTTGTTAAGTGTTTTAAGTTTGATTAAGAAAAAGAAGTTTGAGAAAAAGATCGCTTGACAAAGTCAAGGTTTACTATGAAAGCGGTTAAAGTTTGAAAAGAAAGAAGTTTGGAAAAAGAAAGATGTTTTTGAAAATGAAGAATGGGGTAGGAGATGAAGAGACTATCCTATGTACAAGAAGCCAATACTTGACATAAATAAGTCAATACATTGTTCCCATCCCTTTGGACTAAAGTCACAAGCAAAGAAATAAGCCAAAAGTATACCAGGTATCATGTGAAAATTAATCACAAGAAAAAAGTGCATCAGGTGAAAATTAATCACAAGCAAAGAAAGTGCACCATGTAAGCTCAAAGTGTCAGATAAAGCTCAAAGTATCATCAAGATATTAGATAAGAATCTCTGCATTAGATAAAATACACAGACAGAACCAACAACACATAGAAACTACCGAAAGTCTCAGATTAAATAAGAATCAAGTTCGAAGGAGTTAGAACAATGTATCGTGAAAATATAAAGTGAATGTTTAATCAATTAATTAAGAGTTGATTAATTTAATTAATTTAGTTAAGAAAAAAAGATTAGTAAACTAATCCATTTTAATTAACTAAATAAGTAACTAAACCAACATCTAATTAATTGATCAAAGTGAAAAGATAAAGAAGGACGGAGGATGAAATGAAGAGAGAAGAAATTAGTTAAACATTGATTAAATAAATTAATGAAGTGTAGAAAAATAGATTAGTAAGCTAATTAATTTTAACTAACAAGCACCAATCAATTAAAATAATATAGAACTAATGGATTAAAATGAAAATAGAAATCAGAAGTAGAATGGAATTGTGAGGAGAAAGGAACTTGAGAACTCTTGTAAGCTTGCACAAACCATAAACAAGTTAGTAATCATAAGTGAATTGAAAACCTAATGAAACTTGAATCAAATTGCATGAACAAATAAATATTTCTCAATTAAGAACCAAGAAAACAAGTTATTATTCAATGTAAATGGCAAAAATCAGCATTGCAATTATCATTTCAAACATGTCCAAATTCAAGTAAACTCAATGATAACCATGATCTCAATCCACAACAAAAATTGGAATAAAAAACTCAAGTTATTTCTTAATTTCCAACATAAAAAACAAGTTTTAATCGCATAAAACAAACCCCGGGCAGCCATTACACATATGAAATAAGGCTCGAAAAGATCACCTCAAACATATTTAACACAAATGGAAACAACAAAGTATTTCCACCCAAATTAAACTTTCGAATTCAAATCTAATTGTTCAACAAACACCAGCCAAATCTCCTTACAATTATCTCAAACAACATGACAACATTTAAGCTTCACTCAACACGAGAACAAAACATTGAAACAAAGTCTTCTCCTTCAAAATTTTCAACAAAAACAAACAAGTAAATCAAAGAGGAATTTCAAACCACAAAAGGGGAACAAGAACCAATAACTCACGCTCTTACTCAATTCAAATTCAATATATGAAAAATCGAGCTTACAAAAGATCAAAACACCTAAACCATTGTCCAAGAAGCCATGAACAAACTTTATAACACTCAATGACAAACATCTCAAACTGATGAAGCATGAACAAAACATTTAACAATGCCAAAAACTTTTTTTCTCGTTTAAATTCCAACCAAACGACACACAACACACCAACAAAAACTCAATCAATCAAAGTATCATAACATAACAAAAACTTTGACTCAAGAATCAATCCATCACAAGTATTGTAATTAAAACATCACTGAAAGTTAACAAAGATAAAATATGGTATTATACTCAAACGATAAAACACCACATTCCAAACGGTTTTCAAATTTCGTCACCATAGTTTATAACAATTTGATTCAAACAAAACACTAACATCATCTATGATTTCTTCTCAGAATTTCAACGCAATAATTTTTGCACAGCATCACAATCAAGCTAACAACTATCACACAGTTTCAACATAATTATAAAAAATATCACACACCTCAATCAACAACATCACAATTATAGAACCAAATAATAGGGTATCAAATTTACTGAATTGAAGCGATGTCGTCGAGAGCTCTGAATCAGGACAAAAGGAGCAGTTTTGAGCGAACAGAGTTTGAGTTGAGCTTGAATAGAGGGAAATCAGCGGTTCTGTTTTGTGAGTTATTGCTGAAGACGCTGATAAAGATGAACATGGGTGAACTACTGGATGATGTTTGGTTGGAGGAAAGGGTGTCGCGCGAGCATTAGAGAGAATCCAGAGGATCGATCCCAGTGGATCGATGATGTAGAAGAACAGGGAAGGCTGGAATCAGAGGGTGTATGTTACAGTAATGGTGGAGGTGGAAAGCAGCAGGACGGAGGTGAAGGAAAGTGTTATGAAGGGAATGAGTTTGAGGGGAAGAGAGAAAAAGAGTTTATTTTGGAATTTACAATCGTCTCGGCCTCTGCGTTTTTGGGATGAAAACTACTACCCCTTTAGAAGACACACATCTCTATCTATTTATAATACTAATTCTAGGGTTAGCTAAATTTACAATGGCCAAAAGAAGCCTTTATTGACAAAATTAACATAAAAATATGAAAGTATAAAAATTAATGCAATTTAAAACAATTTTCTTTTAATTTTTATGAATAAAAAAGGAGATCTAAAATGACTAAAAACGATTAAAAAATAGACACTTATTTAATATAAAAAATGAAATGAACACATTAAAATAAACTAAAAATCTCAAAGATTAATAAAAAAATTCTCAAATTGTCAAAATCAAAATAAAATGAGAATAAAAATATCAGGCTGAACAAACGCTAACAATTAAGAACGAGATTGTAAATTGTACCAAAAAAATAAAGCGAGCACACCGTCATGATCTAAGCGAAACACAGATTCATAAAACATTCAATAAAAGATGAAAACTTGAAATATTTTCCCGCTAATTTTCTGTACATTGTCGAATCTCTTTTAACGGTTTGTCTGTAAAACCGAAATATCAATATTATTGACATATAAACAACTTGGTGCAACGCATGAAGCAGGTAAAGAGATAAAAATGCATGAAGAGTGAAATATCAGGTATTTTTCAACTATAAAATGATGCAAATGTTGATTTAAACTGACTTTTGGTCGACTTAAACACGACTAATGATGCAAATTATACGAATGAAGATGTTTATTAAAGATTGTGACCAGATGAAGCAAATTATGACATGTTAATGCGACTAAAAAATTTAGGGGTGAATTTAGGGTGCAACAATTGTTTCTTCTAATAAATATTGCAAAGCTGGAGAAATGGAAGCTAAGCTTTCATAATCCTTACTAGATATTTCATCAAACCTATGGGCCCTCTTTTTTTTGGTTAAGCTGGTCAAACTAATTGAGACTCCACACCTTAGGTTCATTGCTGATCTCCATATTCTCCGGGATTTCATATATGTTCCCCTTGTTCAACTTTAGACCCCTGATCAAATTCCCTACACCCTCTCATCAATTTGTTTCTCCATGTTGTTCCTTTTAGTACCACATGTGACTCTCTTGTTTTTTTCTTTCACTATGCCACATGGTCCAATAATCAAAACCGCACCATAATTTCTTTTTTTTTCTTTTTCTGAATTCCATCTCTTTCCTCCATGTGTTGAGACTGTAGTGGTTCTTTCCCCCACCAGGACTCAAAAGTTCATTTTGAATTTCATTAATATCATTGTTGATAATCTGTTTCTCCTTAATAATGATCTCATCATTATCCTTATCAAGCGTAATAAAATGTGATCCCATAATTTACTCCTTTGCATTGATTGCAGATAACTCACATTTTATGAGTTATTACAAGACTTAATACTTGAATCTATCTTTCTATTTTCATCATTTATCATTTTAATTAATTTCAACTTATTGTTTTAAGAGTAGTTTATAAATAACACAATAGGTGCTCTCTGTTGTTAGTTTTATGTGTTTGTTTCTTGTGTAGGGTTAGCTTCTGATGAGGTCTGGCACATCAGCCTGGGTCAGTAACTTGTACCCAAAGGAAAGTTGAAATTTGGAAGCAACTAAGAAAAAGAAGAAACATCATCTATAGTCCTAGGGCACGCGTGGAAACAATCTGCATTTGGAAGGAGAGAAGATGTGAAAAGATAAGAACAAGGTGCTTGAAGAAAAATCCAATACCATAGTACGTCCACTAATGGGCCACATTGCTACAAGGACAACTCCACATGTATGCTTGTGCCATCAGACTGCCACACTACACCTTGCCCCCTATTATTGTATGTACATGATTCTACTATTGTATGAACAGGAGGAAATGGAGGGAATAATGCTTATTTTCTTTGGGCCTGATTTGAAAATTATCCTTAAGACCAAGATCCAAGATAATGCACAAAACCATAGCTGGAGCAACTATAAAATTAGTTCTTGAAGAAACGAATAAGAGTTCAACAATTGGAGAAACAAAACATACTTAGAAAAACCAATGAAGAGAGTGAGTTGAATGAGAATGGATAATCTTTTTCTTATCCCTTCAAGTGCCTAATGTTGATACTTGGAATGATAGAAGTCGTTTATTGGTGACTAACTTGAAATTTTGGCACTGTAATAAAAAAAGTAAAGACTAATGTCTCAACAACACACAATGTCATGACAGATGTTATAACATCTTCTGACAGAAAAACATACTTGTTAAAACCATAAAGATTTTGCATAAAATTAAATTGCAGAAACTTAAAGAACACAATCAATTGTTAACCTAGTTTTGTGCAACTTCACCTACTGTGAAGGTTACCAAGCTAGGAAGGAAATCCCATATTAGTAATATCAATTTTAAGGCTAACCAATCCCATTTTATAACTTCTCACTTAATCCCTACCCAGTGCAACTTCTACCTAAGAACCTCCTAGATATGAGAACCCATCTCACTCCCTATACCGAAGTGATATCAAACAATCCCAATCCCAGGGAATGTCTCAAGAAACCAAAAAGAAGATTACTCTTCCAATACCAAAATACTTAGTTTTGCTTAAAAGCTTAACTAAGAACAATACTAACCTTTTTGATTAAAAGCATAGAGGAGAAGAATAACTTGATAAACAAGTAGCAATCAATCAACTCAATGCATCAAAATATACACGAGGATATACAAAGAACACATGAAAACCCTAATTAACTCTCAAACCCTAAACCCTTATTTTTGCACACTTAATTTACAAAAAGAATGCTTAAAAACTAGGTCTTAGACGTCCCCTTAAATAGACTCTTGAATTGGGCTTGGACTCTTCAATCAAATCCAATCAGTAGCTCCAAATCCCTGCATAATCTTCTCCACAGAAATATAAACAAATCTCATTAATGTTTCCTTAAAAGTCTCAAAGATCCTTTTTATGAAGCTAATCAAATTTGCACTTGTTCCTAAATAATTTCCCTGACCTGCGCATAATAATGAGGAATATCCAAAAGGATCTCATCAAATCAAATTAAACATGGGCGCAAGATATAAACAACACCAGTGCCTGTTGTACACAGACCATGATGTCACGACATCTGTCTTGGACATCTGGTTGAAAAACTCAAAACAGTTGAACTGTCATGACAGTTGATGCATATGTTATAACATCTTGCTCAACATTTGTTTAGAACCATGTGTTTACCAAAATTTAGCCAATCATAAAATCATGGAACTAACATAACCCTTGCAAGAAGATGAAGAAGTTGCTTTTAGGTTGTTATTTCTTCATCACTATGTGTTTGAGAATGATTAGCTTAAGAACTAATATTGTTGTATGTACTAATATCATTATGAGATAAACCTTTTATGTTGAGGAATGAAAAGTTAAGATGATAAAGTCTTTTAGGTTAATTGATGTGTTATTAATGCTTTATTTTATCATGTATTAAACTATTATAAATCTGCTTCTTTGATTGATCAACTTGGGAAAAGATGCAAGCTTATTGTTGTGAAAGATCAAACAACAAAAAAATTTCATGGTAAAAGTGATTGAAAATGGTAGGATAGATATATTCACTATATTAAATACTTTATAGATAAAGAGTTATAATCATAAAGGGAATTCATGATAAAACTAGACATGCATTAGAGTTACAAGTGAGGCTTGGAGATTATCCCTTTGCCTTGTTGTATATGCTCTTAATGTTGTAGAAATACACCATTATATTACTTTATGACCTTTCCTGGCATGACACAACATATCATGTATGCATAAAATACAAGTTCTATTAATGGATCATTTCCCAACACACTCTCTATTAGTGAATTCACTTACCTTCTTGGCACTATTTTCGACTGTGTTTGCTACTAAACTGAACATGTGACAACCATAAACTATTTTTAATTTGCTCATGCTCCTTTAAAAAATATAGTTCCTTAAAAATCAATCTAAGTTATTTTCCACTCCCTGTAGGTTAGACATCCTTACTATTCTATCACTTTCCACATAAAACATACATGTATACATGCATGTGACGTCGCACATTTTCAACCAAAAATTTATCTTCTTCCCATCGGGGATCTATTGTTGATGGTAGTGGATCCACCATTGAAAGCTTTGATTTCATCAACAATTTTGTTTTTACATTGCATCCTTATCTTTTGAACCACAATCCAAGGTCCTATATTTTCAGAAGTATTATTTTCCTTGGCACCTGCACTTGATTCTCCATTTTTTCATCTGAATCATTCCTTATCTTAGCCACTTCTCTTTTTTTCCCTCATCTCTTTGTTATCGCCAAATATACCACAAGTTAGACATAGTAGATGAAGTCCTTCATACTCCACCTTATAGTTCCTTCCTTTGATAGAAAACATCACTAATAGAGATTTAGTTAGATCAACTGGAATACACAATCTTGTGTATTTTCCTATTTCCCTTGTAAGTGTGTTTTTCCTACTTTGACTATTTGTCCTATACGATCACCAATAAAAGTACGAAATTTATCATAGTTCTCTATTGGTATCCTAGAGATTTTCATCCAAACAATAACATGTTCAATCACATTTCTTGAGGGGAAAACATGTGGACTGCATTCCTTAACTGAGAGATAATGGTCATATATTAGCCACATGCCTTCCATTAGTGTTATGTCTTGATCTTATTGACTCATGAATGTGACTGTCGCATCTCAAAAAACAAACGTGAAGGTGGCAAAGAAAGAGTCGCCATAAATTTTATTTATCCCATCAGGGGAAAGGAAACACTGAGTAAACCTAAAGAAAGGAAATAACATGATCTCACGACTAAGAGAAATAGTAAGGAATTCGATTATGTAAAGGGAAGGTATTAGCACCCCTTACGTTTGTGGTACTCCACGGGATCCACTATTTTTTTTCTAATCAAAGGGTATGTAAAAATCTAAAACTTAATGCTAAGGGAATGCATGCAAGAGTATATACAAAAAGAAAGTTTTTATTAGTTGTGCCCGTCGCGGTTGCGAACCTTTGTGCCTTCGTACCCTCTTCG